TTATCAATGGATAAATGAGTTGTTTCCACTTCTAAACTTTAAATATTGTATAGGAATGTATGCCTCTGTAATTTTAATGTCAAATAAACTATCACCTGTGTGTCACGAGCCACGGGCATATGCCCTAGTTTTAGATGCCTCACAGACTTCATTTAAGGCCACTGAATTTACCGCCTGCTCTAGAGATACTGTCCTCATCAATTCCCATTTATTAGTAGGTGCTTAAAAGGAGGCACTTTCTGACATGCAATAAAAAGCAAACCTAATGAGCAAATGGCAGTGAACTTCAGGGGCACTTTAACTGAAGGTCCATCAGTATTCATAACTCTGACATACTATAAAAGATACTTTAGTACCACAAAAATGTGTCAGAAAAGATATTGAGTTAACAGAAGAGGGAACTTTCTGGTAAAGCATGTAAGAGCACTCATTTCAACTTATCTAAACTATTAGTATATTTTTCCTTTTGCTGACAACTCATTTACCAAGTGTCAGCTGAATGGTATTGGAGGCAGCACTGATATTAACTCCCAAATGAGGTGCTGTAACAATGAAAGGTACATAAGTATTCCACCTAGCACCTTGTCTCTAATTAATGCTCTGGGCCTTGCTTAGGCAGCTGATGCCACTCAAAAATTAGAAAAATTATCATTGGAAATGATTCTCATCCTTTAAATGGCACATTATACTGTCTTATTTTTCACACAAGTCATTTTTCACATGATGTAGACATAAGTTTAAAGGTGTTTTTGGATTCTTAAGGCAATTGAATCTCAATATTTCAAAGTATTATGTATGATTAAATTAACAGATTATTTATTCCATGTTGTTTTCCTCAAACAAGTTTTTAAAATTCAAATAAAAACAAAACATAAAACTCAAAGAAATAAAATAAGGCAAAATTTTGCATCGCATGTTATGGAAGGAAAATGTATGATCACTCATGAACTTCAAAGTGTAAGTTTGAAAACACTGCCTGGTATTCTACCTATATAAAATAATGAGAAAAATTTCTGTTTTGCTATCTTTTTAAATGTAACTAGTGGAATTCTAATTAGCTTCCTTTTGTCTCTTGACTTATAACATCTTTCTTTTATATTTTTTCTTTAAAACTATACCTATAGGAATGCTTCAGATAATGAAAGTTAGTAATATTCACACAGAATGGAATTGTTTGGAAGCAACACAGATAACAAACCTAGTAAATACATTCTGTGAGTTTTACTGCCAGAGCCTTGAACTCAATTGTTAAATGTACTCTCTAAGATTTCCACAGGTGTTGGAAAGGAATTATGGAATATCAAAGCATATTTCCAGAACTATGATCTCTTTTCATCTGTCATTTAAATGAAAATATAATTAGAGAAATAATTTGATTACATGTGAGCTTTCTCAAGTAAAATAATAGAGAAAAAATCAAGGGGGCGAATGGAAGCAAATGATTTTATCACAATGCTCAGGATTCAAGACCACCTTGAACTATTTTTAAGGCTGAAACACAAAAACCGCAACGTACCCTGCTTTACATTTTTATATTCACCATGAAATTTTGTGTGAAAGTCATGTGGGCACTTTATCCAGAAAACTAAATAAATAGAGATAAGAATTTCACTGGACAATTTTAGGTCAAACTGGAACAACTCATTGACTTTGCAGGCAGTGAAGACATGCTTTATGTGATCATGAATATTTGACTTTCATCTATAAACTGTGTTATTAAATACAGTAAAAACACACAAAGCTCTCAGAGGATAAAAAATGTTTTAAGCCACTACTTGTAATATACTTTGTGACACTGCCTCCTTTATTTAATCTATCTGTTTACTCATTCTTTTATAATTCAGCAATACGTGTTGAGCACCTAACATGCATCTGGTGTTTTGCTAAGGCCCTGGGAATCCAAGAATTAAAACGCGGCTCTTCTCTTGCACATTTGATAGTCATTAGGAGAAGCTGCATGGTAAGAGCATGGTCTCCATACAGTGCAGTACAGATAATGTTAGTGCTGCCCTGGGGTTCAGCCTGCGGGTGTGGACATATTTTACTTATTCACACTGAGTTTAGGTTCATAGACTGCACTACTGGACCAAACATTTATTTCTCATAGTTCTGGTGACTGAAGTCTCAGGATGCTGATGCAGTGTCTTTCTTGGGGCGGCCCTCCATCCTGGTTCACAGGTGACTGGCTTCTCCCTATTCTGACACATCAGGAAGGAGCTCTGATGCTTTCATCTCCATGTAAGGCCAAAATTCCAGCACTGAGGCTCTGCTTGTACTAGTTTTCTAAATCTAATTAACTCCTAAAAAGTCCTATTTTCAAATATCATCACTTTGGAGGTTAGAGCTTTAACATATTATATTGAGAGATAATTGCAGTCCATAGCAGGATGTGTGGGAGTGAGGCAGTAAGATAAGAGAGAAGTAAGCAATGAATGAATTACTGCTAAGATGTCTGAAGATAAGTATTTCAAGTATGATTATAAATGATGTCATTTATAATGTTTAATGGACATCCAGAGGAGAAAATATCATCTAAAATAAGCAGACTATGAATGAATATTTAGGAGCACTGGAACAAAATAAATTAGGCCTAAATAAGCTTCTATACTTGAACTAATTTTGGCCCAAAGCAGCCATAATTAGTACATAATAATACAGTTTCATAGTGAACTGTACCCTAGCTTGAGGTGTAAAGAAGTTGTAAACTAACCTAAGAGAATATCCTTGTAACCAAGCAACTAAGTTTCAGCAGTTGAATTCACAGCCAATAAGAGAATATGACTATACAATAAACAAAATAACAATGGAAGCCAATCAGGCTATTTATATATGTCACTTCCTTGGTGACATATATAAATGTAGCCTGTACATGTGATAAACATTCTGTACCATCTTTGGTCCAAAATGTTGCCTGGCACCTTTTTCTTCCTTAAGTAAACTTGAATTCAACTGGTCTCAGTATTCCTTTTTTTAACAGATGGTAGAACAAAAAGCACAGTAGATATTAAAGGCAAAGCAGAAACAAATCTTGGGTGTATTTTGACCCTTATTTTCAGGGAAAATATACTGAGGGTCCATTTAGTAGTCTTTACTTGGTAATTTGTAGGACTAGAGCTTGAGGTCATGGGTAATAAAATGAACTTAATTGTGCATATTTTTCAGAGACAGAAGTGAGTAGCCACATGCTGCTATATAAAATATCTAGTAGAAATTTTATATGGGAAATATAGATATCATTTTTGTGTTTATTTATATGCCAGGAGTATAAACTGTCCTAGAAGTTATGGCAGTATAGAGCGGGAAAAAGTCCAAAATTCCTCTACTCATCAAGTTTGCATTTTCACAGGGATAGGGTGCAGTAGTGTCCTAGACAACACACAATCATATTAAAATATAGAGGGTATTCTGTTCTAACTGACTCTGGTTTGCTTAGTCACATTTGGTTTTATTCTCTTCAAAAAAGTAATAAGAACCGTCAGAGTAATAAACCCTAAAAGTCTAATTGTTACTGTAAAAAAGAGAGGAAAGTAAGGTGGACTAAGGCATATAACCACAGGTATGTTCGAGTGTGTAGGATGGAAAACCATATAACTGAGCTTTTGTTAGATCACTGAACGGAACTGTCTCCAATTCCACTGTACAAATGTCTACTTTATATGCTTTAATTTAGTGATATGGACAACTGTTTCTGGGAAGATAATATGTAACCTATTAACTGGTGATTTTGTACTGTATATATTTTTTCTTGAAATGCTGTATTATTTGTACCCTTTTACTGCATTTTTTTTGATGTCCTTTTTTTTTTCTTTTCTTCTCTCTTTAAATAAAAAAAAATATAGTGGGTATAATTGAGTGTCCATGATAATCTGAAAATATTTTTTCCAAAGACAAATAGGGCAGATCTGAATATTCCTTTACACCAGCAAGAGATGAACTAAGAATTAGGGTAAGGATGATATTTCAGAGGAGAGGCAGGATGTGATGGACCAAAGTTTCTGTAGTTTAAAACAGCTTCTGTTCTTCACCTGCATTTGTATATTTGCCAAGAAATTATCATACAAACAAATCCTTCAGTAGTTGAGGGAGGCAATCGTTTTTCAGGGTACCACATGGTACAATCATCCACAAATATGACACAAGTATTTGTATGTTCTGTATACACATATCAGTGTATGTATAGGTGTATATATGTTTACACATACACACATATATTTATGCATAAAAAGATATATATTATAATGTTCATATATATGTATTTTTTAAAAAAGAATATTTTGGTCTTTTCTCTTTTACAGCTATTACTCTTGATTGAAAAGTGTAAGAAAATTCATATTAGTTACTTCTACTAGAAAAAGAATTTGTTAAACTTATCCTTAAAATAATATTTGGCTGAATCTGGGACCACTACAACTCTTACGATTCTCAAAAGACTGCTAAACCAAATTGATTATAATCCAGGTTAAATATCTAGAAAAGTAAAATATCCAAAGATAATCCCAGCACTCCCATAATGGAAGTCTTCAGAGACAGCAAATATGCATTTCATAATATTGTAGTAAATTCAGAATTTTATGATAAGAATTAGACTACATTTATTTTTCTCCCGGAGTAAGCAAAAGAATAAAAAGAGTTTGCTTTATTTAGAGAAAATAATTGAAATATAGAATTCAATGTGTCTCATCTTTTCCACACATGTACAGAAAGCCAGTCACAAGAGGCTGATGTGAGGCATAGTGGAAGTAATTTAAGTTCTGTTTCTGGATATTTTATCTTCTTCAAACACAATTTGTTTATCAAATCAAAAAAGAATGACAGCACAAAAATAAAAACGAAAAACAAAAATGCTTTCACATCTTAGATGAAAGGTGATCTTCCTTTGGATCACTCTTTCCAGCGCCCCAAAGAGCCGGCATAAATTGAAAATAAAACAAACAACAGCATTGTCAGAAATAACAACGTGCCGGGACAGCCCTCCCGCTTGTGCACGCCTCCGCAGAGAAGCCACAATGCCTCGCTGAACAGCCCTTAAATCTTTATTGTATTTTGCCTCTGGGGCTTGCTCATCACTGTGGGTCTAAAAGTGTCTGTTATGGTCAGAAATAACTTTAAAAAAATATTGCACCACTGAGCCAACGAGTAGTTCAAATGGCTCCAAAAGTGTAAACTTGTAAAATGCAACGCAGAGGAAGCACTTCAGCATTTGGAATAAACGGACTGCTTCACTGTGTCACTCTCAGCACTTTTGTTTTACGAAGCCCAGAAATACTGAGCTGAAGGAAGAGTATCTATAAAGCCCCCGAAGGTACTTGAGAATTTTCTTTTCTTCCTGGACAAGAAAGATGAACAGCCGTGTGGACATCATAGCTGAAAGCTGCTCTTAAAACCTGCTGCTTTTTCCTTCGTGGAGCACGTTCTCCAAGCCTGAGAGCGCAAAGGTCTGGAGAGAAACAGTTTAAACTGGGAATTATCAGCCTGTGCTTTTAACCTAATCACGTGCATGGCTATTTCTCATACAATATGGACCATTCATTGAGTTTCGCTTCTTGGTTTCTACTTGGTTATACTAAAAAGGTATTTATAACTGCCCACTTTCTCATTGCTAATGTTACTGTTTATTGCTTTATCTTTAGTTAATATACAAACGATACAACTTTTGTGTTAACAGTGAAGCTATAGAGACAGTGTAAATGGCATTGTCTGCAGGTGAAATTTTTATTTGAATGTTTGGCACAGCTTTGCACACAGTAGTACACAATTTTTTTTTGAGACAAGATCTCACTATGTATTACAGTCTAGCCTAGACTCATTATGTAGCTCAGACTGGTTTTGAACTTGAAGCAATCCTCCTGCCTCAGCCTCCTGAGTGCTGGAATTACAGGCATGCACCATCACACTTGGCAGCAGTACACAGTATCAAGTTGGCTGGTTATATTATTTGGAAATGTAATAAATTCAAATAAGAAAAGTCAATATGTTGAAGAGTGTTTAACTCAATAAAAGATTCAATAACACCCAATTGATGGGTGATATGGAAAGTAACTTCACAGATATGAGACCAAACAGTGCTTAAACAAGAAGCCTAAGCCATTAAAACTAATAATGAGAAATTTTCATCTTTGCTGGTTATGATTCACATATATTTAGTGTGGATTTGGCTTAGATAAGGTCAGTGGCTACTTATTGTTGGATGAATCTAAGTAGTATACACACATATAATTCAGAAACTTAAATGTTTGGTATATACATGCATTCACCTATGTATATGCATACAGTGACAGCATCAGAAACCAAGACTTATGCAGCATTACTCTGAACATCTGGCCCTTAGCCCACAAGTGTCAGAATCTATTAGAGAGTACATAATATTTGTCACCAGAAAAAGTCTCTGGTAATCCTAGAAGCACATCTCACTTCCAAATATACATTCTTAAAATGAAGCTGCTGGTGTTTTTGCAGGAAGATAGGTTTTCAAAACACTGGGAGATTTCAGATAGAGGCTGGCAAGCAACTGCACTGTTACCTAATTCAGAAATCATGAAGTCCGTGACTCCTAAGTTTAATGACAAGGACATGACACTCTGTGTACAATATCAGGTCCCACAGTACAGCTCACACTATGTTACTCTGAATTAATCTAGTCCTAGAACTTCTCATATAATTGTCTTTATTTAAATCCCACACTCTGGCCTTTATGCAATAAAATTTCCAAGGAACCTTTTAATCATAGCTTTTGGAAACTCATACTTTTGATCCTTTGCAATGGTGTATGTTCAGAGACTTGAAGCTGGATTTAAGGGCCTTTAACGCCATATAATTGTAAGAAACATTCAACAATTTTCTTATGTTTTCTCCAATGTCAACACCATAAAGCTCCATCAGGTATTATTTATTCAGTGCATACCATGTGTCACACACTCTTAGGGGATTTCAGGAACAATATTTCCTTTAACTTCTAATATTCTACAAAATAAATACTATCACCTTTTTCATTCATGATATTTGGCTTGATAATATCAGTGGCTACTTATGGCTGTACTGTATACATTTTGCACAATTTAAATTATATGCTGCTCTCTAAGGCAACATATGTATATTTTCATTAGAGAGGAAGTATTGAAGAATAGTATTATCACCTCACATTATTCCTACACAAAGCTCAGTATCCATACAAAAATAATTTATTCATTTAGTCCTCAAACACCATTTGGCAGTATAGACACATATAATATAGAAGCATAAATGTTTTATACATATATACATTCACATGTGTATATGCATACAGAGATAGGATTCAAAGTCGGGTATGTCTACTTGCAAAGCACATATTCTTTTTGAAAACACTTATTTTTCTTTTTAAATATATATTCAGAGATAATCTAAGGATAAGGTTTTGAAAGGTATACAGATATTTTTTTGAATATCCTTTCTACAGCTTCCCCTAAAAGTGTCAGCTCACAAAACAGGGAACACTTATGGAGACCAGAAAAAACAGATTTCTACAATAGTATATATTAACCTAAAGATTTTATTTGAATTTTTCAGGTCACTGTAATTCTTTCTCTAGGTCATGGTATAATCTGGAGTCCTATATTTTATTGACTATCATATTCCCTTCATTTTCTATAGTATCTGACAACTATTTTTCTATGCCTTGCCACTTAAAAAAGAATACTGCTTGGGGCCAAGCATTTAGCTCAGCAGCATAAGTGCCTGCCTGGCAAGTGCGAGGTCGTGAGTTCGATCCCTGGTACAAAAAAAAAAAAAAAAAAAAATACTGCTAGTCATTTGTTGTGAAAAATGTTCTTAAATTTTCATTTTCATTCTTAATTGTAGGTCATCCGATGATTTCTTACGATTGCATTGAATTTATGCAATTTGAACAAGAATATTTTGGCAGTGATATTCCTTCTCAATGCAGCATATCAGGGGTACGTGATGTTGTTATCTTTCCTACATTATCTTTTAACTGTTTGATAATATTAAAATAGTCTATGATCACAGATCTGAGAAATATCAAAGAGTTCAAAATATGTATTATGTTATTTAATAGAAACCACATTGGCTTCTCACTAGCCGTGATTAATTTGGAATATGCTTTAAATTCTTAATCCAAATAGCACCGATTGCATGTCTGCACGTGCACAGTGAAACAGGAAAATACTAGAAGTTTAATAATTAGCTTTCTGGGAAAGAAAAACTCTTGATCTGTAGTGCTTCCTGGTCTTGTTGTAAATGCTTCCAAAGTGGCCCAATTCAAGCTATCCGTATTATATTGTTGACTGCAGATGTAGAAATGCATTCAAAATCAACTCTCAAGAAGAAGGCCTGACACCCCAGTGAAAATAAGCATTTACACACTGCATTTTCTTAACTCTAGGCTAGTAGTAGCAGAACTCAGACACGCATATATATGGAAAGGTAACAAAATTTTCTGTAGTAACTTTTAGTAGGAGGCTCATGAATGCTAACTGTAGTGGAAAATTTTATTTTTAAACAAATTCCATGTGTGTCTCCATTTTATACTTTGCACAATTTAAATTATATGCTGCTCTGTAAGGCAACATACGCGTATTTTCATTGGGGATGACGTGCTGCAGAGTAGTTTTATCCCCTCACATTGTTCCTGCACAGAGCTCAACATCCATACAGAGAAATGAATTCTACGTGAGTATTCTTATCAATAATGTCATAATCTTAATGTGGACTTAAAAATTATATTTTATATGTACTGGAGGGTAGAATAGCCTCCCAAAGATGTCTATAGCCTGATTCCCAGACTTATTTGGCAAAAGAGACTTTGTGGGTATAGTCAAATTATAGATCTTGAGGAAAGAGGGTTATGGTTTATTAGGGTTACAGGGCCCTTATGAATGAGAGGCGGGAGGCTTGTTGTAAGAAAAAGAGATGTCAGTGGGACAGAGGGGAAGTGACATGGCCATGAACCTAGGAATGCAAGGGACTCTGGGAGCTAGATAATGTCTCCAGGGGAGCACAGCTCTTGTGATACTTTGATTTTAGTCCAATAAGACACACAGTAGACTTTTCTCTACCTAATTTGCAAGATAAAATTTTTACTATTTTAAACTATTAAGTATGATGATGAGGCACTGCATCAGTAGAAAACGAATGTACACAAAAACCATACTTTCACTGTGGTTAATTCAATTACTTAATGATTAATTTTAAAATTTATCTCTTCATCTTTCTGAAGTTCTGACTTAACACACCATTTAGAAAAATAAACAAACAAACAAGCAATATGTTTATGTCCTTGGTGCTAAAAGTATCATTGAGGATTGTGGTATGTATCTAAAGTAAGATATTTTAACCCCAAGGATAGTAAAGTATATTCTCAAAAATTTTCAAGGAGCACATTAGCAAGGAAGAATCCTTTAATTAGAAAAGTTATAGTAAATTTACATAACAAATTTTTATGTCAAAATGTGCAAGCATTTAAAAGTGTTTCTTTTCTGAAAAAATCCCCGCTACTTTGTGGTTTGTTGGTATTAATGTAGTCAGAAAGTAATGCCAAAGAAGATGAAAAGTGATGTTGGTATGCTGCTCCAACTGGAAATCTCATGCTTGACACTATCTCCATGAGACATTAAAATTTAATGGAAAAAATGATAAACCTAAAGTGCTATAATATTTTGAAGTGTCTTCTGGATTAAAGTTTAAAGTCTTCCATGATGTGGAGTATACGTTTTGAAATCTTGGAAAATTGTAATCCAGAATGCAAAATGAATCAGAATGCTTCTTTCTGTTTTTACATCAAATCAAAAAGGATATGATGGAATATATTCATTTTTTTCTCTTTAAAAGATTAAAAAGTAATTTTCACTTCATGTAGTACACGTCTGATGTGATATTTAGGTAAGCATAGTGGAATAAGAAGGAACACCAGTGAGGTATTATGCCTTGGTTCAAGTCCCAGGTCAGTAAAAAATGACCTTGGAAAACCATTTAATAGTCTTTGTTTCATGTTATTTCTAACATTACTCACCTAAGCTACCTTGCAGGCAATATGTGAAATATAATGCATTTTAAAATACATGCACATTGTAAAACTGCTATTTTAAAGAAAGCTAAGACAAAGGATTCTGACATAGCCCATAAAATGACAGTATCTAGAAGCAAAATGTTTGCTAAATAGAGTTTTTCCTTTTTCCCTTTTAGAATTACTTAACTGTGTGTATTTGTTGAAGAATGTTTTGCATACTTACCCCAAAATTCTTATCATTGTGTAATGAAACTCAGAGGTTAGATTGTACAACAAATACACATGCTGAATTTTAGATAAATTACTTAAGCACATTTGTTCAAATAAAAGAATAAAAAGCTTTACTTACTTCACAGTTGATGTCAAAAGATAAAAAAATAAGGAAATTGTTGCAAGCCTCTAAAGCAATTGTTATTCTTAGAGTTAAGGTGCAGGTTGATCTTTTTAATATTGCAACAAGCTCACACATCATTAATCACTTAGAAGTGGCCCCAGGCCATAGTAAATGGATGGCCTAATAAATCAGACTTGATGTTTGCTATTTCCAAATTATTGTCAATAACTAGAGTGAGGAGGTGACAATTCTGTAACTAATGCTTATAAACTGGACTTTTTATTTTTTAAATTTTAATCAAGACTCTAAGCAGTAGGAAGGTGATCCACGATAATGCATACAATTATGACACATGCTCAGACAGTTACAATCACAGTAAAAGATGTGTTCATTAAATCATCTCACAATTATCAATATGCATGAGTTTCTCTGTAGGAGAAAATATTGTTTCTGGTTTTCTTAAATGTATGTGTGTATCAAAAATACGGAGCTCTTTTTCATGCTTATAGGTGAGAAAATACGGAGAGTGGATTCTATGGAGGTCATGAAGAAGATGGATGGAGATGAAGAAAAATGGATTGCAGTAGGGAAAGAGAAAGGAAAATGAAATACAGATAAAAATATGAATGGAAAATAGAAGGAAACAGGCAAGAAGGAAAAAAAAATGGGCCCAACGTCTGAGACACCTAGTTTAGCAATGAAAAGGAGGCTCATATGAGATACCGAAAGAAAGAAATTATGAGGAAGAAAATTATGACTTCTTATAAAGTCCAGGAGTCTTGGGTAGACTTGGGTAAGCATCGGAGGACAAAAATCACACAACAGGGCAAAAGAGAATATACCAACGGTTTCAACATTCTTAAACCTTTATCGGTAGAGAGGTAAAATGGAATCTGTGTATTTACTGAAATCAAAATTCCAGCTTGGATCTTGGCATGGTTGGCATGGCTGAAGCATTGGCCGTGTAGTAAAAAGTTCACAGCGAAGTCCCAGTCCAGTGTGGTATCTAAGTAAGTTATACTGCAATATAAGTTGCTGAAGTTTGAGATTTTTTTGTTTTGTTATCTGTAAAATAAGCATAATAACAGTACTAATAGTAGTGCTTCAGGATTATTGTGAGCATTTCATTTTAAAGTTTCATGTACAGTCTTAGTATTTGTATTGAGAGTGTTAATTATACTACTATTAGTTACAAAGCTTCAAACAAATATTTTTATTTCTGACCGTCGCTACTTAATCTATAGAATGGGAGCAAAGATAAAATATTTATGGGACTTATGATATAGCTCAGTGGCACAGTGACTTCCTGGCAAGTGCAAGGTCCTGAGTTCAATTCCTGATATAAAAAAAAAAATTATGATCTGGAGGGAGGCATAAATTCTGTTATCTACACCAAATTTCGGTCACAAAATTGGTTCACAATAGTAGCTATTATTGTTTAGAATGCACTGGCTTCAAAACCAATACGAGTTCTAACTTTCTCAGGTAACAAAATGTGTTTAGAATATCTAATTTATTTTTTACTTTATGGACCTGATGCCTTTTACATCAAGGGACAGGAACTCTGCACAGATTGGCAGTAGTACTTGTGTTCTCCTTAGGAAGAACACTGAGGCTAAATAGCTTCTGAAAGCCCTTAGATCACCAAATTCTGTTTGTCTGTCAAAATAGTTTGGAATCTGCTTCTGATTTTCCAAATTTCACTCCTCTTTTCCTAGCCATTATTATGCTTTCTGTGGTTATCTTCATCTGTTATCCATATATCTACAAATATATGCCTATATATGATTGCATATATAGCAATATATGTATATTAGGAAACACAGTTTTGGTCATTCCAAGATTGGTTCTTTGAAAGAGAAGAAGGAAGAGCTGTATAAGAAATAAACAAACTTCCTTTTAAGATACTGCCTGGTTTCCACAATCCTTTATTTCTTCATTTCACCATCTTTCTTATGAAACACAGCTTCTCATACCAAGCAGTGTGCACAGAAACCATGGAGCAAACAGTTGTTCATTTGGATTCTTAGAAGCATAAGGTTAAGTTTTCCTCACAATATGTTCTGTTTGACTGAAATCAAAGACCCATATCAGCCATGGTTCTACAATCAGAGATTTATAGTAGGTGTTTCACTGGAAGCTATATTATTGTAATTGATTTCTAAATTAAACACATATGCAGACATTTAAAGTAGTTATAATTAGAGCACAATATGACCCAGTCTTCTTTAATGGGGATCCATATTGTTGTCATTACAAATGTCACTTTTCAGCACTACGTCTCTTACCAAACAGAACTCATTTTGAAATGCCAGTTCTTGTGAAAAATTTTATCCATTTGTCCAAATGGTACTTGAACAAGAGAAGAAGTTTTTCTCCTTGGGTTCATTTTCAGGTTGTTAGCCTAACCTAAAATAGAGCCTCTTTAAAAGTCTGCTGCATGTTCAGTTAGAACAGAGAAGCACAGCTGAGTGTTGAGTAGTGAAGACACGACTGTAAATAACTCTGTAGTTTGGAAATGAATGATGCTTTTGACAGAGATGATTATGTCGTATTGACAACATTTATGTCAAATGCAGAGTGAAAGCAGGAGATTGACTATCAGCAGTTTCCACCAGCGATCACTTGAAATAGCTCCAGTGAGATAAAGAAGAGTAATAAATGCATGTGCCTCCCACTCCCACTCACACTCTTTTTCTTCCCTCGGAGCTGAGTTGTTAGTGCAGCTCCACTCTGGGGGAAAAAGCTAGTATTCCTACTTTATCAAAGAGGATGAAATATTCTTAGCTGCTTCTTTTTGAGTTAATCAGTTCCAGAGCATCCTTAGTCATCCCACATCAAAACAAAGGAAGGCAAAACACCCAAGAAAGGAAGTCAAGCCCTGGACTTCTACAAGAGAAATTACAATTTCAAGTCAGATTTGAAATACATGAAATAAGGTCTTGGCAAAACGCCCTCACAAGGGACCTTTACCAATCTTGAAAATCAGTGTCCCCATAACTGCTCAATACTGGCTTGCATTTCTGGGGTGCAGAATATTTTGGATGATAAGTTTTCCAGTTTGAAAAAAAAATGTCCTATGTTGGAGAATCTTGATGAGCAAGTAATATCTTCCACATCTTTATCTTCACTCCAGTTGTTTTTTGTGTGTTCTTGAGCCTCTTTATTGTTCAGAAATACGTACTTTTATATACGTTCTGAAGTACTTATATTTTTTAATATTTGTATTTAAGCATGTAGAACAATTTTAATATTTATTGAAACCAGAATACAATGCAAAACTTGGCAGACTGTATCATACTCTGGAGTTACATAATATTCTGTGTGTAAGATCTGTGAGTCTCTAAATCTGGAGTTAGTCAGAAGATTTGTGGAGGAATTTCTGAGGGCACAAAATGTCTGTATAGAAAGCATTTGGCTTTTTCTTCTCAAGAGCAATCCTGGGATATTTATTGGCATGAAGCAATGTTTATGTGCCATTGTGTTAATCTTGCCATTGTAGCTTTGCCCGTGGTCACATGGCAGAGATGTGTTCCTCTCTGCATGCAAGTTTCTTCTGAGAGAACATTTTGGTTTGGGGTTGGGAGGTAAGGAAGTCCTTTTATTTTTCTGAAAAACAAATGACATGTGCTCTTGGAAAACAATATACAACTTTCACACAGTAAAGTTACCACCCAGTAAATGATTTTGGAACCTAACTCTTAAGGCATGGACTCATGTGTACTTTGGAATGCTTAAAACCAAGAAATTTGTGAGTTTATTTGCTGAATCACTTACATAAAGACACTCCAAAAAGTGATAGAAAATCCACCAAAGAGAAGAAATTTCAGGAACACACTTTTATTAAGGAAAATAGGTTGTCAACTATGTGGCGACAATTTGATTCTTCATTTTATTAAATAAGAATGCCTCGGAATACAATTTATTAATTAACCTTTGCAACTGGGTTCTGTGAATCCAAATATATATTTTTTAACACATCTTAATCTCTTCATGATATGAGTGACAGGATTAAAGGACACTTCTTCTTTAAAATATTATCTAGAGGTCAATTTCTTAGATGCCTAAAGTGTTTATCTTCACTTATAAATTAATACATGTTAGGTAGATTTTGTGCTAATCACTAGAAAAATATTTTTACTACAGATTTATCTAATTATGAAGAAACACAATGACTATTTCTTACAATGGACTTTACAATTACAACTTTAGCTCTCTTTGCTCTTTTTAACAAGAATATACTACCAAGGAAGTTTATGTTCAAGGCTCTTCTGGGTTTAGAATTTCATCAGTTATTCTCTGATTAATCTTTGTTTTAATTTGCATTTCTCTAATGACCAATGATGTTGAACATTTTTCATATATTTATTTTCTGTTTGTACTTTTGCATCAGGGAAGTGTCTGTTCATTTCAGATGTTCATTTTTGCACCAGAATTTTAAACTTGGGAGATCTAACTTTTTAAATTCTTTATATGTTCTGGATATTAGTCTTTGTCTGAGGAAGAGGCAGCAAACATTTTTTTTTCTACACTGTGTGTTGTCTCTTCACTCTGTGATGATTTCTCTTGATGTGCAAAAGGTTTTAATAAGTGGGGATCCCAGTTATTGATTTGTTTGTGATAATTCCTGTGCTATCAGGTTTTGTTCATAAAGTCTTTGCCTACACTATCATCTTCAAGAATTCTGTTTATTTTATATTGATTTTGAGAAAGCTAGTAAAATTCCCTTACTAACTCAGGTACTTAAAAATATTATCTGTGTGGAATTTGTCTCTTTTGCATTAAGCTTAGCAGACTGTTCCTTTTCACAAAGTTTCGGGAAATTTTAAGTGTCTCCCACGTTGACATATTCTGTCAATGTCTTCATTGCACTCCTGTAAGTCAAGCACGATGAGCAGTTTTGTATTTATTCATATTTTAAAAGTATATTGAAAAGTTTTGACTGGCATTTTTCTCTCCTCTGTCTCCTTTCCTTTCAACAATATAGGTGCATTCACAGTGTGATCTAGCACTCTGCTAGTGTGATACACCTACTAAGCAGAGGATGTTATGATTGTAACTAGAGTCTTGCATGCTCATAGGTGGGCTTTCAGAAGGTGATGAAGTGTGGGGGCCTATCGCTGACTTGCTATTAGGTGGTGGGGCCTGAGTCTGATGGATGACAACGTGGGTCTCTAGGGTGGTGGCCTGCTAGGGTTCCTCTCCCTCCCTTGCTCCTCCCTTCACTCTCTGCTTCCTAGATGCCCATATACTGAGCAGCTATTTCTCCACCCAGGCCCTTGCACCATGCTATTCTGCCTAATAACTGGGCAACTGTGAACTGAAATCTCTATAAGCTGTGAGCCAAAATAAACCTTTTCTCCTGTGATTTGTGGCTGTTGGGTATTGCATCCCAGCAACAAGAAAGTGACTAAAAGAGCAGTTATGGCTTATTTGGCCTACTTGGAACTTAGTATGTAGTGGAAAAGATAGGGGTAAACAAATACACATGCAGTTACATAGGGTATGATACAAAAAAGATCATAGCAGAAATGCTTGACATTATGGAGCTGAAAAATGCATTTTACAAGATAGCCTCAAGCTGACTTTTGATAGCAAACAAGAAGTTGGCCAAGCAAAGGGCTTAGGGGAACTTTGAAGCAGGAAACTGTTGGTGCTTTCAAGTGGATTATGGTTAATAATGTGAGTTAATGACAGAACAGATCTTATAGGAATTTTGTATTTTAAGAATATCATGACCATGTAATTTATTGTCCAAATGAGAAACATTTATGAATTAAAGTGAATACTCCTGTGAATTAAGCAAAGTAATATGTATCAACATGGATGTGTTGCCAAAATGCGGTAGAAATTATTAACTCTTTAAAGATTCTATCAAGGCACTTAAATCTTTCAATAAAAAAGAGTAATAAAGTTTGACTTAGGCTTTTGCAAGATTACTCTGCCTGTGTGCAGGATGGATATGAAAACGATCTCCTACAATAGTCAACACACGGAAGGAAACAAAAAAGTGGACTTATCTGAAATACAATTTAGTTGTACAATTGATAGCACTTGGTGGTCATGGATTGGATGTAGGCAGAAATAAGTGATTGCTAAAATGACTTCCATTTGTGTAACTCAGTGAGTGACGTGCCATGTAAAGAAGCAGATTTGGAGTGTCATTGGAATCAAGAGGTGAGTTTGAGATTCCTAAGAATAAAAGGACTGATATCTGATGGAGATACCATGTACAAAGTTGTACCTAGAAATGCAATCAACATGATGAATAAAAACACAGGGTTTGTAAAATTTAGATGCCATTTAAAGCAAAAGAAAGCCTGAGATTATTGGGAAGAGGCAGTAAAATGATAAAGGAAGACAGGCAGGTCCTAAGTACTGAGAAACAAAAAAATTAGCTGAAAGGTAGAAAGAAGTAGCATAGTCAGGATCTGCATTCTACACAGCTGTCAGGAGATGGGAATTTACCTCTTTCCTCCTTTTGATAACCACAGTGACCTTCCTAATACACTTCTGTTGCTTTATTCCCCTTGTCTAGTTCACTGTCCTAAGTTCCTAACACCCTTTCCTTGGAATCACTTCTCATATCAAGGTCTTGCACACAAATTTTCATCTCAGGCTCTATTTTAAAGAAAAGAACCAAAGAAACAGAAATACTACCAAGAGAGTTTGTTGATACCAAACCAAAGTGGTTATGCCAATAAGTGAAAAGTAGAAAAGAGTTTTTAAAGCTGCTGAGAGATGGGATAAAATTTGAACATATGAAAATCATTGGTGACCCACAAAAGATCTAAAGCCATGGGGATATTACTGAGGCTGCCTTGGATAGTGACAGAGTTTGTGGGAAAGACAAGAAATCAAATATCATGGAGTAGAAGGGGATGGAGAGAAAGGGAAAGTTTTGTTCTGATTGACATCCTTTTGGACTATGAGAGATGTTAGAACGTATCAGAATGCTAATGGGAATGATCCATTAAAAAGAGGTAAAGGAAATAAGGAAAGTGAAAAAGGTTATCTGAAACACTGAAAAATAATTTTAAATTGAGAGCTACCTCTTCCAATAGGAGGCAAGATCACAGATGTAGACTTCAGTGAGAAGACAATATAAGAAGTGGTATGTTGTTTCTCTGTTCTTAGTGAACTATGAGATTGATCGGGTC